CGACTTTACACAAATGTCTAATCAGTTTTTACTCATGTATATAGATGAAGCAAGAAAGTTATGTGAGTACCTTGGTATGAATATGAACAGTAATAAATTGTGCTCGACACGTGGTCATCACTAAATATTACTGTATAACACTGTGAGATTTTATCAGAGTAAACATTTTACCCGCAATAGAACTGCTGCTCACGTGTTGTTGATACATTCATCATATTGTGTGTGTGTGTGTGTGACAGTGATAGTCATGCGTTCTACCCACTCGGATCAGTCGACGAAGCATATCAAAATATTGAGTTGACATCACTGTAAAGTGTTTAGAAGATAAAAATCCTCAAAAAATACATTTACTGAAGTCCTATGTGAAATGGGTGCTACTTAAATTCAGATAAGTTTGTTTTTTAGCCATCTATGAAAGAGCACTGGCCAAACTAATATTTTAATCTGATAATTTGACTGGCTAATAGTTACCATCACACGATAAAGTGTAATACGATTCGGAAAGAGCACAAACTAATTATTCGAAATTTCGATCACACTGAGTAGCACCATTTTTTGATTCTAGTATATATTCATAAATGATTGTTTCAGAAATGTAACTGTACTTAAGAATAAACTCTTACCATGGACAAGGGTATATCGACTAGTTAAAATATATTGATTTTTAGATTATAGGATTTAAATTAAATTAATTTTACTTGCTTATATTTTTGTTACGAACCAACGCAAGTTATAGAGATTGTTAAAAACCAGGAAGAACTGAGTATCTGTTTAGTGATGAAGTTAACATAGGAAGTCATGACCAGTGGGGTGAAGAAGGTGCTCATCCGGGGTATCAGTGACAGTAGCGGTATATCACACGATCTGGCAAAGTTAGAATTCATGGTTCATTGAATTTCAGACACAGTGACTGAATGGTCAATGAAGTTGGTCTCATAATCTGAGTTTGACCCTTTGTGGAATCATCTGCCCGCACTACTTATGTGTCCCAGACTAGAACAGAACGATTGTCAAAAACTTCTTGTTTTCCAATGATAGTTCGTGACAAAATTTAACGAATGAGATTTTGATTTATTGAGTACAACACATTTAAGCGGACAATACTGTTTTCAGTTAGGTCTCCTTTGTTAATTGATATAATAAGGTGAGCAATATTGAGGTTAGGCATCGGTCGAGTGCTAGGTAAGGAAGGGAAATCAATAGACAAGGTTGTGAAGCAGCTGCATCGGTTGAGATGGTTAGGACATGTGTTATGCATGCACGCCTATCCATCGCCTTCCTCCAAAACGGGCAGTGCTAGGTAACAAGATGGACGGATCAGGTTGGAAAAGAGCCATCGGTAGTCAAACAAAAGCATGACCTCATCCGTGAAGGAAATCTACAACAGTTAGTTTAAGCCAGCCAGACATGTAGGAGGCTTCCTGCTTTGGTTCCTCGGGATGGTAAAAATCAATACTAGAGATAATAGGTGATATGGGTCAAAATGGTTCACAATGGCTTGTTCAGGTGCATTTACTATTTGTGATTTGCAAGTCAAATCCAATAAAACTATATTGTTCTTCCATATTACTATTCTTATTCTTATACTATTCATATTTCTGTTTATTATCTCACTTTTGAACCTCACTTTACCCTCTTCTCTTCCTTTGTGCGCAACATGGATTGTGGAAACTGGAACTGATGCCCATCAGTGCAAAGCTCCACGTTGAAACCAGTCCAGCTCAGCCAGTTAGTCAGGATAGGTGAGAATAAAAGTAGTCTGATTGTATTTCCATTTGTAGTGTAGCAAATAGTGCAACAGATATTTCAGTTGATATAAGTATAAAACCTGGGCACTGTGGTAGAGTATAATTCCATTATAGATAAGATTTTATTTTGATAAATCGCACAGTGTTTACAGTTATATGAACTGATTTTTTCAGTTGTTCAAAGCATCGCTGAAAAGTGGGGTGATGATGTGGCATAGCCTAAATACCTCCAGCTGAAGTGAGCACTACTTAAACACAGGTACAAAATGAATTATTTCTGATGCTATAAACCACACACAGAAGCATAAAGTTATGCATGGATGCTATTTTATATGTTTAAATTTGAAGCTTGAAGCCTAGATATGACAATGAAGCAACATTCATTATTCCAGAAACTCAAGAACTCTGAAATCGTTCAAATAAATACTTAACAAAAATTTCAAAAGTTTACACAAATATCTTAATAGTATATTACTTATGTCATTTGGTGGCACAGCGGTTAGGGCGTTCGCTGACCATCCAAACGGTCCGGGGTTCGACCCCCGGCCAACGCAATCCTTTACCTCGCTAAGCCAGGAATAAAGCTGGCAAAGAGGAAAGGTTGGGCATCACCTCATCTTGTAAAATTAAACACTGCTACAGAAACTTCAAGCCACTAACTTGAAGGTGCCCTATGTTCCACTGGGAACGTGAAGGAATAAAAAAACTTATGTCATTACAAGAGCATGGAAACACTTTTTTAAGTGTCGCTGTTAAAGCACGTCATAAATCCCCACCTAAAACTACCATAAAATAAATGGCGATATAAGTAATTGCCAAAACAGATTAACCTCTCTTTCATTTCCTCCTTCTTGATAAGAAAAAACGAAGTCGACCAGTTATTATTATTCCCGTAGGTTTCGAGAGGAACATAAGCCTTCAGCAGTACATCTCCATTTTTTCTGATCCTCACAGTCGTCTTAGGATGTCTCTTTGGTTGCCCATAAACCTTTATCCTCTTTTTACATGATCTATACTATATCACCTTTGGATTCGTGTCCAACTCGGTGTTCTCCATTCCATTTCTATTCAAGGTCCTAGTGTGTGATATCACTGAAAAATCTCCTCAGCCTGTGATCAGCCCATCTTTATTTCCTTCGCTATATTTGTTCAGCAGTAGGTTATGGGCTAATTCTTTTCCAGAGTTCCTCGTTCTTATCTTTTCCGGGTGATCATGTGATCTCCAGTATGGAGCGAATTCAGCTGTTGATAATAGTCCATAGTAGCCTGCTCGAAGTAGTTTTGGTGATTCGTTAAGTTTCTGAACCATATGGGAGAATTGATTTGATGACATTGTAACGACAAAAGACAAGGGCCAGGAAACACATCGTTTATTTACGAAATCAACAGATATTTATAGATTTTTATGTACATTATAATAGATTATTTTAAGCAAACAAACAGAGTCTTCTGATTGTTGGTTTCTCACTAAAAGTTAATCTTTCATCTCTTTGTAGCTGTTTCTTGAATGTAAGATCATCTATTTGCTAACTGTATCCACCTATCCGAATTCTGCTGTGATTGATTGTTGAATCAATCTTCCTTCTTATTTTCCTCACGATCAATACTGAGGACGTAAACATTGACGTAAATTACTGTCTAACAATTTGCCTAGCAGCCAGCTCTCACAACAATATTAGTGTTGAAAATCCTGATGTTGTTCTTCGTGTTGAATACAATAGATTTCCAAACTGATATCGGGTTAATGAAGGTCTGGGTTGCTTTTCTGTTTCATGCTAGTTTTTGCATCATTATCTATGTCTTTCATAGTTGAAACAGTGCTGTCTAGTTTTATTTTATTCCTTCACGTTCCCAGTGGAACATAGGACACCTTCAAGCTAGATGCTGGAAGTTTCTGTAACAGTGGTGATCATTTTTACGGGATGGGGTTGCTAACCTCATGCTCAACCTTGCCTCTTTGCCAGTTCTATTACTGATTTAGTGAGGTAAAGGGGTGCGTCGGCCGGGGATCGAGTGGCTGTCTAGTGGTTGGTTGGTTATCTTCATCGTTTCTTCTGTCTACTTGTTACTTGTCACATGTAAATCTTCGAGTTTATGTTACACTAAAAAATAAATCATCAGCAAAGTATAGATGACTTTTATGTATTCTGAATTCCCTCAGATAGTTAGTTGGTGTTAAGGCACAATCTTATATGATTTTCTATTGTGTGTATCTAAAACGATTACTATTGTGGTGAGAGCTGTCTGCTAGCCAAAATTGTAGACCCAAGTTTACGTCAATGTTTACGTCCTGAATCGGGGTCACGAGATAACACAATAACAAAGTTTAACCCTGAGGAACTCAACAACCAATCACAGCAGACGATTCATAGATATGTGGCCTGACCTTCAAAGAAATGGCCACAAAGAGATGACAGAATAACCTACAGCAAGATAAATACCAATCAGAAGACGTTGCTTCTCTGCTAACAACGCTAATAATAATGTTCACAAAAATCTGTAAATGTCTTTTGATTTTGATATAAGTATAAAACTTGGGCACTGTGGTAGAGTATAATTCCATTATAGATAAGATTTTTATTTTGATAAATCGCACAGTGTTTACAGTTATATGAACTGATGACGTTTCGAGCACAATTTATTGCTCATAATCATATCAAGGTGATATGAGCAATTATGAGCAATAAATTGTGCTCGAAACGTCATCAGTTCATATAACTGTAAACACTGTGCGATTTATCAAAATAAAAATCTTATCTATAATGGTCTTTTGATTTTGTCAATAAACGATCTGTTGCCTAGCCCTTGTCTTCTTTCATTACACTATAGTCATTTCAAATGTAACATTTACCATAGTGGTTTGGTAAAGGACAGACAAAAACAATCCGTAGCTCAATTTTGTCACATTTAGTTGACAGTGGTCATGTAGTCGAGAGAACGAGAGCTTTCAAAGTAATTCATCGTATCCCACCGAATCTTTCCAATAGACTTTGTATTCGTTTACTGCACGCACACAGCTGAGACGATAGGCATTCGAACAACTATTAAACCTAAACTATGGATTCCAAAGAAGTTCTTACAGCCCTTATCCCTCCCTTGTTGGCCTACTAAGACATAACCAGCTGATGACCTCTACACCACCCCTTGTTTATATTTTCAACCCCTTTCTTATCATCCCTTAGTCTTATCACATCTTCATTAAAAACCTGTCTGATTTACTTCCCTTTCAATCAGTCTAGCATTAATTAATCGGTTCATTTGTTTTTACTAGCCTTTGTCAACTACTTCCACCTGAACAAATGCAAGGTACTCTTGGAGAATTTATGCTGTACAAACGTTATGTAGATGATACTCTTATTATTAGTAATAATAGCAAATCTATTGAAAACTTTATCACCCTATTTAATCATATCCATCCAAATATTCGAGTGACCTCCGAACTAGAATCCAATAACAAACTCGGTTTCCTGGATATTACTATGACTAGGAGAAATGATGGAACGATTCAGCGCTCTATTTTTCGTAAACAGACGTGGAGTGGACAATATCTTCATTTTACCAGTTTTGTTCCTATCCAGTATAAACGTTCCCTGGTGAAATGTTTGTTCTCGAGGGCTCGAAAAATATGTACGATTGACACATTGATGGATGAGCTTCGACATATACATTCAGTTTTACTAGCCAATGGTTATCCAGAAAACTTCATCAATTGTCACGGTAAGGATAGACCGCATCTTGAAAAGAAAGCTTCTGTACCAAAGAAAGCTATCTTTATTAATCTACCATTCAAGGGCGACCAGATTATGCAGTTGACAGCTCAAAGACTTCGGTCAGCCATCAAACGCACATTCTACGCCACCGCATCTCTTTTTCTCACTTGCTGAACATTTTCGATCCCTCTACCTACGATTAAAGGACGAAATTCTGTGGACTCTACTTCAAACTGTATCTACAAGTTCACCTGCAACTGTGGTGACACCTATATAGGTAGAACTAACAGAATGTTCCAATGTCGTCGAAAAGAACATGTTCCAAAATGGCTAGTAAATCATATCGAAAATCCTAACGCGATTAATCTTAGTAGAAATCCAGCATCATCCATTGCAAAACACTTATGCATGTCTGGTCACAAAATAAATATTAATGACTGTTTCACAATTATTTCACATAACTCTAATTCAAGGTTATTGAAGGTGATGGAAGCATTTTGGGGATTAATCACATACAGCCTAAACTGTGTGTACAGAGAACAACAGACTTCAATCTTCGCCTACCCTGGACTGCGTGACCTATCTTAATATGATTGGTCATTAGTATGTACTTTTGTTTTGATTTAACTGAGTAATTTTCATGAACTTTATTTTATCATTGTTAACCATGTTAGTTGTAAAGCGGTTGTAAAGAAACTACGAAATGATATCATCTCGCGAAATTTGTCTTCTTAATGCCTTATTCAAATTTGTTTGTTTGTTTAATCATGCTGTTTTTTCACTATTCGTGTTATCACAAATTACCTCACTTTTTTCATCGTTATTATTTATAAGAGCATTATTATTATTACCATTATTAATGTTATCATTACTACTATTATGACTAATTGCACAATTCATATTCACCATTTTATTATCCTATAGACAAAACACCATGATGACTGGTTTATATTTGAATTTTTATTTGTAAAGTTATGTAGGCATATTAGAGTTAAGCCTTATAGGATCTAATTGAAAACAATAATTTTATTTTTTTTATTTATTTTTTTGATTACAGCTTGATTCCTCACTGTATTATTGGTACAAGTACGGAATTTTCAGCATGGATATCGGTAGCCCAAATTTTACAGGCAGACCATAGACATCAGGTGTGCGTCGGCAGGGGATTGAACCTCGGACCATGTGTATGGTCGTCGAGAGTCCTAACCACTCTACAACCTTCAGCAAGAAAACAACCAATCAGAAGACGCTGCTTCTCTGCTAACGATGACGAATAACAATGTACATAAAAATACATAAATATCGGTTGATTTTCTTAATAAACGATCTGTTGCCTGACCCTTGTCTTCTGTCGTTACACTGTCATTACAGAAACGTAAAAGCACAAGCTTAGAATCCGATGTTCCACTGGGAAAGCAAACAAATGGAGAAAAAGTATAAAGTGACGTAATTACTAAAAGGAGAGAGAGAGAAAGACAATTTAGTGCAAATCTGTTAACTCAGCTCCCCTAGTTTTTATTGAGAAGTCAGGAAGACTGAGAAATGAGACAGATACCTTGGCGAAACGATAAGACGACATGAAACATGTTTATCATTCGGTTTTATCAGATGAGAATTAACCTCCACCCGACTTTATAGACCTCTTAAGTGACCATAGCTTCCCACCACAACTTTCTGAACCTTGAAGCTAATAAATAAATCACAAATACTGTATTTCCACTGGGATGAAAAGTTTTTTAAAGATATATCAACACTACCAAAAGGTTGATCAACACTGGACAGATATTTCCTCCCAATGTTTGCTTAAATGTGTTGTTCTACATTTTAAAGGTGTTTAATCGTTGTATTATCCTTTTAACACTACTGAAATATCCATCACTTTGTTAGCTGTACTATAATAAACGAAAACACCCTGAAATTACATCACACCTTATTTCTCTTCAAAAGATTAAAGGTGCTTTTTGTTGTTGCGGTTGTTGTTTTAATCAAAGAATAAAACTGAGAATTTCTAACCACACTTTCTACTTTTTTTTGATTAAACTGAAACCCTTCTATCTTGATTCATTGATGCATAGAATAATAAATATAGTTCGAAAGGGCGAAACAATCGAATAGAAATTAAAAAGAAAAGAAAACACGTAGGATTTATATTTCTTTTATGCATGAATAATTAATTCTACTAACTTTGGTTGCCGTGGTACTTGAGGATAAAACAATACATATATATATATATATATATGCTAAAACCATGAGGCCATAATCCTGATAAAACTAATCGAATATTTAACCAATAACTTGTAAGATACTCTCTCTATCCCACGTTTACCTTCTTCATCCGTCTATCTTGCTAAGGTGTAAGCATAAACATGGATAAGAAGAAGAAGAACAGTATTCGTTTTCAGCGATAAAAATAATAACGTCTATACCTGTGAGGACAAAATAAAATGAAATTAAATCAATAACTAATTAATTAACCATTTTTGAATAAAACTGCTTAGGAGATAATAATATGCGCCTAAGGAATAGAGTTCTTTTTTTAAATATTTTGTCCACCAAGCAGAGACTTGATAAACTTGGATTGAAGACGACTAGTAAAAGATGTGAATGGGCTTAAATGAAATGGTGTTTTTAATCAGTTCCTTTTCTTATTTAGGCCAGTGGAGTTTGAAACAGAGGAGTTAAAGTGTGTGTGTGTGTTTGTGTTAAGTGAGATATGATAGTTGAAGAGTTAACTGTTAATTTGTAAATCGGTCAAATTATGCCTATGTAACTACCTGTAAAATGAGACCAGTAATCCCTTGGCTACAGTTTTGAAGTAATCATACATAGGTCTGACGACACTATAATTTGTAACAACTAAATGGTTTCCAAGGACACGACAGTGGATAGCGAGGAAACAGCAGGCATAAAATGAACTCACACAAAACACTTGGAGGACCTGGACTTCGCCGACGATATATGTCTGATTTCTCACAAACTGAAAGATATGCAAGCGAAAAGCAACAAGTTGGCACAAGAAGCATCAAAGATAGGACTCCAAGTAAACGTAGAGAAAACAGAAGTGATGAAGATTCCTGGCCAACACCAACAGCAACAACAAAAACAGACAACAATCAGCCAGCGTAAATGGGAGGAACCTGAAAGAAACCAACTCCTTCACCTACCTGGGAAGCATCGTTTCAACTACAGGCGGAGGGAACTGACGAGGATATCAAAGCCAGAATCGGAAAAGCAAGAAAAGCTTTCATTACTCTCAAGTCTGTGTGGAGGTCAACAGCACTCAGCATGAAAAATAAGATCCGGATTTTCAACTCCAATGTGAAGCCAGTCAGTGCTACTATACGAATCAGAGACTTGGTCAACGCGTCATAAAGAGCACCTCAAACAAACTACAGACCTTCATCAGCAGCTGCCTTCGCTCAATACTCAAGATCAGATGGCCGGCCAGAAAAGATCAGCAATAGGGATCTCTGGCAATGAGCGAACCGACAAATAAGCAAGAAGAAATGGAGATGGATTGGCCATACTCCGAGGAAACCATCTAGTGACATCACACGCCAGGCGACTACTTAAGTGGAACCCGAATAGGGGGCGGCGAGTTGTTCGTCAGTGTAAGGGTGGGGTGACATGGAGGAGGTGATGTAATCAGAAGATGAAAGCATGTGAGCAGATGCGGAGCAAGGTGAGAACGTTGACAGAGAACCGTAGGCATTGGAGACGGGTGGCTGAAGCCCTATGTTCCTCTAGGAATTAAAGGAAATAATAATAATAAATGGTTTCCAAACACTTGTTGGAAATAATTTATAAATAAAGAACGCGGAAATTAGTTTGTTTATATGAATATGCAACAAATGTATAGAATACTGAACACATAAAGATATCTGTTTGAAGTTCTGCGGTTATATCAAATATATGGAAGTCTACTGAGCACTAACTGACGGAAGTACCAGTCAAACTGTGAACAAATTAAGCGTATTTTTAAGAGGTGAGGTGTATTCAGTTTGCGAATATGATATTGCTGAGTTGCGGCCACGTATTGAACTGATGTTTATTTCAGGTTATTCGATCACAAATTTACTTCAGTGAGATAACTATTCAAAACCAGGGAGTAATGACTGTATCTAATTTAGAATCTATCAGATTCTTGCAAACCAATCTTTGAAAGTAGTCTAATTTCCACTAGTGAGCAACTAGCTACAAGATGAATTTGCCTGAAGCTTTGGAGAGTATTGAGGATAAGCTGTTTGCCACCCACGTCCGATGCATCTGTAGTCCCGACGTTCTGGAAACAGAATTAGATATTCTAAGCGAAATCTTCATCCGAAACGGATACCCAATAAGATTCATCGGTAAAAATATCAAACCAATAATTTGGAGAAACGAAACTTTAATGGTGCCTAAAAAGGAACCCTACATGAACTTGGATTTCAAGGGAGATTTAAGAAGCGATATTCTGAAGACAAGGATCACATAATCTCTGAGAAGAACATTCTTTGTGGCAACACTAAGAGTAGTATCCTCCAGTCGTCCACTGATCTTCAGAAGCCTCAAGGACAAGATCCTGCATCTGACCACTTCTATGTGCATATATCAGTTCACCTGCTGCTGTGAAGCCAGGTACATTGGTCGTTCGACGCTCACCCTGTCCAAGAGGATTCAAGAACACTATCCAGTTTTAGGGTTGCAAAAAGGCAATAGTGGTGCAATAAGGAGTGCACACCTGATTAGCACTGATCATTTCATTTCACCAAACTCCTTCTTCAAAGTAATTTACAGGGTCACGAAAAACCTACCTTATGTTATACGTTTTCGTCTTCTTTGTATCGTTGAAGCTCTGGTCATACACATAGAAAAACCAGAGCTGTGCATACAAAAGAGGATTACTCAACCATTTCTACTGTTATGCTAACAACTTTGTTGATTTTGATGACTTAATTTTGTTTGTTTGCCTGTTCTTTAATTGCTTATAATTCTTCTGTTCATTTAGAACTCTTACGTATTTTCGTATTCTCTTCTTTGTTCTCATGTGTATCCTGAGTAAAACTGAATCATCAAACTATTCATATTATTACAGAACTTCTTTTTGACAACTGTTTAAGAAAACCCATCACCTTTCTTACTACCCTAATTACATTAACACCTAATTTTCTTGACTGATTTTGTATTACGTAACTCCAACAACCAATCTTCAACTGTTTAGTTAGAATAACCATAACCAATTGTGTTTTTGTTTGACAAACTTAATGTACGCATACATACAAAATAACACATATATATTTGCGATTGTACAGCTAAGAAAATGAATTCGCCGAAAATGGACTCTTCGCTGTTTTCAATAAGCTGGAGTCACAAATTTGGTGGGGGGGGGTTGGAGGGCAAATACTCGCCGTTGATATTGACTGGAAGTGGTGCTATATATCACGAATCAGTATAACTTGGGAGTCATGAGCTGTAGGATTGGGTCTGTACAGCTGAATGGCATACGTGCTTGCATTGTGACAGGGTGGAATCGCTTTCTAGTCCAGCGAGTGGGTACTGCTGAAGGGCCCCAAACCGGGACGAAACAGCTGCACAATACTCCCTAGTTTTTGATGATTCTCAGACCAACACCAACGAACTCATGGCTAAAAGTGAAATAAATCGAACCCTTACAATCTAACTCCTACAAAGTAAATGTTGAAGCAGAGAGGTCCATACATTATGGCTGTAATAAAGTAAGTAACTCATAAATGTGTCGATGGAAATTATACACTTCGTCGGTAGCTTGCCAAAAGACAAATTATGAATACGCTATAGTGGACACATACGATCTACACATTTTAACATAGTATGTGAC